GGTTCCTTTCTCTACAAATTCATCTCCATGAACGCCGACAATCACATTCGCTGGTGCTTTAAATCCAAAAACAAAACACTAAGAGATTTATACAAATCTGAATCAAAGGATATAAGAAATCTCTCCTACTTACCTGGTTGGGTTCCTTTCTCTGCAACAACCAAGCCATCTCCATGAGCGCCGGCGCCGCCGATCACATTCGCCGGTGCTTTAAATTCCAAAAAAAAAAAAAAACAGTAAGAACTAAGAATGTATACAAATCCGGATCAACACTACATAATAAAATCTCTCTTAGTACCTTGTTCATTTCCTTTCTCTACCAAGCCATCCTTGACCTCCTCCTTCACTGGCGCGTCACTGAGCAAAAAAAAAAAAACCAGAATACAGCTAGTGTAGAGAAATTTATGAGAAGAAAAGAAGGATGATGATGATTTTTTAAAAGTTATCTTGAACTCATCGTGATCTTCAAAGCAAAACAGAGAGAACAAAGCTTTTGGAATTTTGGAATGACGAAATGAAAAAGTTCGTTGCTGCAATTCGTTGCTGCAATACTCTGCAGGAAGTTAGTATTTAATAAGGGATTCTTTTGGGATTTCTGTGGGGGGCCCACTCTTGTTACCACGCGCTTCTAACTGTTTTCGTTGGTTAGTCTAGTTTACACTAACTCTATTCTCTCTATACATAGTGAATCATATATGAGATTTTAAATTACACGCATTGTTTCAGTGAACAACCACAGTAAAGTAAAGACAGTAGAATTCTACAACATGATGATAGCCAGCGTATAAGTGTATAATTATATAGTAGGTTTCAGTTGGTGAAAATGAGTCTATATATACATGGAATAAAATACTCATAAAATAGCAGAGTACCCGATTGTTCCTATGACAATCATAGAACCCAATTGTTCCTATGAGCACAAAAAATGCATACGAAGCGATGAGCATGTACCCGAAGTAAAGCATCGCCGAGACCAGTTTTGTGATCTGAAGCTTTGTGAAGAAGTAGAACGTGGCGTAGAGGAAGAGATAGAGAGCTGATGAGCCTGATGTGAGGTAAGATCTCCACCACCAAAGGTAGTCCTCACTGCAAAGCTGGAAGTAGCAGAGTACTACGGTTATCTCGGCGCAGGTACTCTGCTATTTTACAAGTATTTTATTCCATGTACATATAGACTCATTTTCCCCAACTGAAACCTACTATATAATTATACACTTATATGCTGGCTATCATCATGTTGTAGAATTCTACTGTCTTTACTTCACTGTGGTTGTTCACAGAAACAATGCGTGTAATTTAAAATCTCATATATGATTCACTATGTATAGAGAGAATAGAGTTAGTGTATACAAAACTAGACTA